CTTCCAACCCCTAACATTCTATGATTCTATCTAATGACACTCTTTGGCTTTCCTAAAGCCCTTGTCGTACCATTTGACTAGTTGTACTGTAGATTCTTCACAGTAATATAATACTATGCATGTAGCAGATTTATCCTGTATATGATTTTAATTGCAACAACAATTACTGGCAAAATTAAAGAATGCCGAATTTCTCTAAACAGTTTCCTTGGAAGTTGTACTTACATAAAAGAGGGGCAAGAATGCTACTGCTCAGATCATCTTTTGGGAAACTAGTAAGCATGCACTAACAGTAAGTGAAGACAAACAGCTGTCTTTAGCTCTGGACTCCTGAAATACCAGCCAAAGCCCACAGTGGCTTGTTAGCAGAGATTATCATTGGAAAGAGCTTGCAGCTGTTCTGCTTTGCCTCCAGTAGCTGTGTTCACTTGCTGTCACTGCACTGATATAAAGGCACTGAATATTACAGGGATTATCTGGATATTATGTGGGCAGACAGGGGGAAAAAAAACCCCAAACATCTACTGTTTCACATGTGGTAGCCAAGAGAAACCCAACCTTGTAAAACTGAAAAGCTTAATGAAGTGTAGGTGATGAAGCCATACATCCCTGCTCTAAGGGCTGATTATCTCCTCAGTGTCGCTGGAGTTACCATCTTGATCATTCATATCTCAAGGCTTAACGACTCAATGAGGCTTAAAGACTATAGTTAAATTTCTCCTCTTTGAACTACTGGGCAGTACCCACCTGCAGTGTTTGCACCTCCTGATGCTAACAGGAATGCTGCTGTCACTTCATCCATGGGTTCCCAACCCTGAAGTACCCAGCCTACGCCTGCTGAAGACCCTGGGCTACCTGCAACCACACGCATGTCCCCAGTGTAGCCCCACTGCTACAGTAAAGCACAGCTACTCTGAGACAATTGTGCTAAACCATATTATCACAATAGTTCACAACTGCATGTTCCTTCCCATGCATTTGTTTCCTTTTATTAGCATCATTTCAAGATCATTTTCATGGCTGCAGCAAACAAGGGAGGGTTATAAAGATGACATAATGCCCAAGGGACAGAGCTAATTGCCAATGCTGTTTCTCTATCACCAGACCATCTCGGCTCTCTCCAGCTGCTCTAACAGCTTCACAGACAATGTGCTGATTTGCACCAGCTGAAGAGCAACCATGGACACGGACACACACACACTTTTTCTGTTTCTCTCTCTCTCCCAACTGCTAGTCCCCTAGGCTCATTCAACTCCCAAAATATTTATGACTGCAAACCGTTCTCTTGAGGTAGGACAAGATGCTTTCGACACCACTTCATGTCTTGACAGCAAACACAGTCTTTGCAAAAATGACTACCAATCCAAGGTGCCTTGATCTCCAGTTTGTCTCTGCAAGACACTTTAAAGGCTCCAGCTAAAGGCTGAAGAGGCAATGAGAACTGCACGCTTGGTGTACATTTTTAATACAACAACAAAAGTCAGATCTCTTGCAAGGTATTAAGTGCAGGCATCCAAGATCACTGGAAATTTAAGCTGGCATTTTTAACAAAGCTGAGATCTGCATATCTGCATTTATTTTGTTCCACAGGCCGTTTCTTACTATAGATGAAATGCAATTATGAAATGCAAGGCATGCGTGCTGAAAACCAAACATTAGGCAATCTCTCTGTGGTTTTGTTTGCTTTTTTGAGCGGAGGTAATGAGGGAGAGATGGCTGTTCCTAAACCATTACATTCTGTAAATAATGAAGAGTACATAAAAGGTGGAGTGCATGAAGTTCAATGCCTTACTTTTTCAGCCACTCTGCTATATCTGCTGCAGTAGCACCATAATTCTCAAAGTGGAACAGGAACTTTCCTTTCCTGTTAAAGCAACAAAACAAGGTTTAGTCCTTGCCCTGGAAGATAAGAACATACAATTATAGTTGAGTGTATGATTTCTGAAGTAGTAGCAAAACATAACTGACTCAAAATAGCAGATTGTAGGATATCCCCGGACATTGTATTCTTCCTTTATCCTTTCAAATTCAGCAGAGTAAACATTCATCCCCGCAAGAACCTGAAAAAACAGAACATAATCATATTGATTCTGACAGTACATCAGGAACATTACAACTCTTTTAAAGGAGTTGAATAAAAACAATTAAGCTCTGGGCACATTCTGATTTCATTTGTATTGTTGTAAAACAAAGGGATCTCTGTAAAATGCAGTGAAGTTTTTCTGATTTTGTGCAAGGAGGAGCAAAGCAATATTTCACTCTAGTCCACAGAAGTCGGTTTGTCACCTCATCCTTGCTCTGGAAGTATTTCCATCTCTTTTTATTCACCCAGTAACAGAAATTCCTAAAGGGAATTAACTCAGTTGCATTACCTGTGTTCTTTGTGTACCTGAATTTTAAGCTACAAGTCTAATTTGATTTTTTTTCCTTCTCTTGCAAGTACACGGTTTAGTTCACATCCAAACATTACACAAGAAGTTCCACCTTCCCCTCTCTGGTTCCCACTCTGGCAATGAATTTACAATCTCAGCTGATGTTCAGAAGCTCTAACCAACCAAGTGCTGGCTTTATCCCAGTTCAAAAACACACTTAGTGAACAGCAACGGGAAATCATCATTACTTTGATGTGAAAGTAAAACATGCCCTATTTCCTTGAGCCCAGGAAATACCAGATGGCATTTATAAGCTTTAAATATCTTACCTTACTGGTAGAGTATAATGAGAGTTAAGAATTAACATTTTCCTACAGACATCAAAAGAGTGGCACAGAAGCATAGTAGGTTTTCAGACTAGCGAGCGAAACAAAAAACCTCTCCTTTCCCTTTCCTTCCTCTACCCCCAACCCACCCTCCACATCAAAACTGCTTCACCCCAAACTTCAGGTTCAAGGCTCCTACAACTTATCCTAATTGTTTCAGTTTGACCTGAAAATTTGAAGATGGGACTGATTCTGAGTTTCTCTGGATGTGAAATGCATACAGAGGTCATTCTGCCATCGAACCTTCAACCAGCGAGCTGCTGAGACACCACTTCAGGACTGACTTTGTTTAATGGCATTGATGGCTTAAATTATCTCAGCAGCAAGATCTTAATCCAAACCCCTCCTCTTTCCTGCTCCAAAACTAGGATTTTCTACTTTCAGCTGAAATACCACATCAGAATTTCCAGGTTCCTGACTGCGGCAAACTGCACAGACCAACCAAATGTGCTCAGAGCTAGCATGAAATAAATCTTAAAGCAGAAAATCTTCATTTGAAGGTTAACCTCCTTAAGAAATGTGCTGCAGCATCACTTTGTTTTCCTCCCCTATCATGAGAAAGGATAAAAGAAAGCTGAGAAGAGTACAGACATAGAGTTTATACCGGCTGGCCAAGTCTCTTACTTTGAATCTTCTTTGCTGTTCCGACCATCAGATTGATTTAACTCATATGAGATTCTTTAGACCCAATTCTCCCCTTCCTTCATCCTCTATGTCACCACTTGAGAGGAGGTAAATGCAACAGGATCAAGACACACAAAGTGATTGCTTTATAAAGTGAGAACTTGGTTTGTTAGCTAATTCCTTCAAAGACCTGTCTACCAGATTCCACATTTGCCATGAACTTTCAGAGGATTTCCTAGATCTTAAATGGGTGTTCTTGGCACTCTGCTACAATTTCGCTGGTCCACCCAGACTTGCAGCAATCAAAACAAGTCAATAACTTGGATTCATTCTAGTGTTCATACATCATATGAAATGTAATTAGCCAAAAGCCTATTACTATGGGATTCATTTTTAATGACAAAAGTAACAGCTTCAGCTGGCCTATAAACACAGAGTTATGTAATATCAGGCTGTCGGGGACCATCACAACACACCTACTACCCAAAGCCAAGATATTCCCTCTATACCGAAGCCACTCACGACAGAGTAAATTTAGTTGATTTGCTTTTAGCAAACAACTGAATGACCCAGGCTCAAACTGGAGTCCATTTCATCTTCTAATAGCCACAGCAGACATGAAGATCAGTTTATTCCTTTCACCTCTGCAGTGATGTCTGACATATTTCGACACTTTCCTGATTTTCACAAAGCTACCTACAACCTAAAGCAACTCCGAACCTTTCCTAGCTGGCCAAGTCTTTGGGCTTCTGGCGATTCCTGCTCTACTGTGACTCCTGCCTTGCTTCACAGTTTCCTTGACAGTATCGCTCACTCTAAAATCAGTACCTCACACCACCATATGAAGCCTTCCTAGAGCCAAGCTTAACGAACACATTAAACAAAGACTTACGTTATTTGATATCCATAATAAGCGTAGGAACTTTATGCTTCTGAGGTCTCACATCTTTACCAAAGAACGAAAGCACTTCATGCATACACTCAAGCTGGTCTCTACAGAGTAAAGCATCCTGGCACACTCGTGAAGCCCGTGGGCACTGAGGAGATGCTCAAGTGCTTTCCTGACCAGCAGTTCCTCCCTGTACTGAGGCCATAGCACATCAGTGAAAGTCATTTGCCAGAGGCCACCGTACCCAAAAATTACAGAAATCTCTTGTGCCAAGGACAGAATAAGCCATCCTCTTCTGACACAGTGTTCCTTCTTTCCTCTGTGCTGGGTGTAATGGAACTGCAAGATCTAAGCTGAATGTAACATGGAAAACGTCGCCCCGCTTTCCTCTCAGTAAATGTACTGGGACAAGAAACCACCAGTCTCAAGAGAACACAGCAACCAGCTACAGTTCACCTTTTCATTTTTACAGCCTATTAAACAGGCAATACTGTACTTCATTTCCCTGCTATATAATAGCAATAATCGCTTTTGAGCCTGGCACATCCTGACAGCTAATGGCAGGTCAGATTAAAAGGTCAAACCTTCAGCTCATCCAAACCAAACATAAACTTTCCAGTAAAACCTGATCTAGAGGTCAGCATCACTCTAAGGCAACCCATGGATAACTTATGATGGGTACAGCACAGTTAACTTTAGAAATTGCAAACTGTGTACATATCCCATTCAGGAAGCGAATTAGGTCAAATTTAGACAAACAGACCGATCTTTGTGAGAGACATAACCAGACTTTCCTCTGAACTGAGCCTGCACTAAAAACACTCCAGTGCAAAAAGCAGCCCCAATCAGAGCTGCATTAAGCACAGGCACTGCCACTCTCAGAGCTGTACCACAGCCCTGTCACTCAGTTATGCAGGATTAGCCCGGATCTACAGAAACCATTTCCAAGTTAGGAAGGAAATAATCAAACTAGAATAGATCTGGAGTTTAAATTCTACAGCCTGAATTTAATAAAGCAAGCTGCACGTGGACAAGGAAGGAGTAACTGCAGGAGAACACAGCGCTCTGCAGCATGCCTACTCCCCAGCACTGCCCCTGTAGGCAACTCTATGTTCCAAATTCTTATCCACCCCATACCTCGCAACATGCCCCTTGTGCAAGATAGGGGTGCCTTCTCAAAACCACAGCACACGTTCCACCAAGGGGAGATGGCATTAGAGTGCTGCCTGGCTAGACAAAAAAAACCCAACAAACCCACACTCTTGAAAATATCTTCAAGGGTTGTACCGTGTCCTAAATAAATCTGAACAACTCCCACTCACTTCAGCCCTAAGCAAACAAGGATTTAGAGAATACACTTCTGAAAAACAACTAGTTGGGAGACCATGGGGGAGTGTGACAGCACTTGGTGCTTATGAGCAGCAACGGCCAGAGCTGCCCTAGCGATGAACTGCAGTGCTTCATCTTTTCCTCATCACATGCCACCTCTCCCGAGGAAACCTCTATGCTCGATAGACCCAACAGGTAGGATCAAACCAAATCCAGCAATAGCCATGAAACAACAATCTTATTTCTTTGTCAATCATGTATTATTGGCATCACATACATTAATCACATTATAAAACCTTGACTGGAAAAGTGCTTTTGACTTGCTTAGAGATCGATACACCGTGTTAGTACAAACAGGTAACTAAATTACTGTGACTGCTGTTGATGGATTTTATCAGAGTCAAAACTTACTTTCATCTTAATTTGCTATGAATGCTAACTTTGTTGACAGCTATAGCAAAACTGCAAGGTTTTATTAATGCTTAAGCTTAGTGGCTAGGAGGATGATCAGTAGCTAATACGGGGAAATCTCCCTCCCATGACACTGTGATTCTCCACTAAAAAAGTGGATTAATTATTACTATAAGGGCATCCATCCCTGACCCTGCTATGACACATCAGGCCAAAAAGCTGATCAAACCCATTCTGGCAAAAATGTCTTTACCAAAAAAAACTCAAAAGGACTACAGAGGCTAAACATAAACCTACATAGCGTCAGAGCCTGTTTTTCCATGGCAAGAATTACAGTGCATCTAAAGGGCACATGACTTAACACCTCAAACTCCAAAGTTTTAAAAAAAAGAATAAAACCCAAAACAGAATCCTCAAGGCATGTGGAACAGAGACATTTATTTCTTGCTTAAAAAATTTCCTATTTCAATAAATATTTGTGGGTTTAAACACTAAAAAAAAGTGTTACAAGGATTTTTAAAATAAATCTTATCTTCTCACTTACATATTTACCCTTCAGTTCGGTGGCTGCCTGCTGATAAGATGGCATCATTCTCTTACAAACACCACACCCTGATAAAAAAAGAATTGTGTAAGTAAATATGTCGACAACTCTATTCAGCCTGTTCTACAGGATTGACGTTCCAAAGCATACAAAACAAGTTTTTATATTAAAAAAATGCAAACAAAAATTCTTTACTTGTTTCACTAAATAATTATTAGACTGTTAGTTTCTAAGGATGTTATTTCTTGCTACATGCTGATATTTTTGCATGTTTTTCATGTTATTTTCATAGTTTCACATTTTCTCATATTTTCATACTTATTTCTCATCCCAGTTTTGGAAAGAGTAACACCATCTTATATTCCTTAGGCTCTGAGCCTAGAGAGGGAAACACAGGATGAAACTCATACATCAAAAGTCAATGAAAGACGTCACGCCTGTGAACTCGAACAAAAAGCTTTGTGCATTTTTGGTCTTTAAACAACAGGGGAAGGTACTTCGGATTCACCGCAGTTTAACAAGTCATTGCAATTAATTTGAGAAGCATGTCCTAAACACATTAAACAGACATCAGAAGTAAAACAGTGCTCTGTTAATTGAGGAGACATAACTCAGAAGAAGCAACAGCCCTGGTAAGATACAATAAGTTTATGTGCTGAGGACAAGACAAACGGCAAGTGAGGAAGATCGCCAGTGTATAGTTGGAGCACACTAAGAGCTGTTCAGTGATGCTGTAGAGTGCTAAGCAGATTCCCAGTAAATCACCTGGTAGGCAGCAGGTTTCACCCCTGCCAAGTAAAATATGTGCATGCACATGGGAAGGGACAGGACTGCAGACAGCCTGAAAGAAAGGAAGCTGTGGCCAAGCACTTGGGACATTTGTGGAAACTCTTGGGTCATTTGTGGAAACTCTTGGGTCCACCACAGTACAGTAGTCAACATTTTTGTTCCAATGAAGAGACAAAGAGATTCTGCAGCCACCAGTTTAGGATCACATCCTAAATGTGAAAAGAATGTCCTTTACCCAGAGAAAAGAGAGCTCCTTTGTGCAGCCTCTCCACTTTGGAACTTTCTGCTCAAATTGCCAGTGAGCTTGTTAGATTAGTAGTGCTCAAAATGACCATTTCTTGGTGGGCACAAACCACTTATTAGACGCCCACCAAGGTCTTGCAGCTTCATCCAAACCACAGGACAGACATCAGAAGATAAAGGTTGTTAATACCATCTTCAGGTTCCTCTGTTTCTTCTCTCTTCAGCAGCCTCAGGCCCTGAGCATCCTCAGCTATCAATCTCCATCTCTTCCCCTCTTCAACCTCTTACTGTTCACTCTCCCTTCTGGAGCACAGGCACACGCCAGCCTCCTCCGTTACCAAGCCATCCCCTCTATCATCCTTCCAGTCACAGCTCTGCTGCTGCCTCAAAATTAGTGCTCCCAAACCCACTTCAGTACGACCTCTCCTGCCCACACTTTTCTGGGTCGTACTCCTCAGGACACCGTCAAGTCACATATATCCCTGTACAGCCAACAAAGGGTAACCTTGAAAAACCTATCTTCCTCTGCTCTTCCTTCCTGTACTTTGTCTCAAAAGGGGAGGCTTGATTAAACACATATTAGTTTTTCCACTAGTTAACATCTTCATTTTTAAAGCCCTGTGTTTCAATGATGTTATAAACAGCTCCCTTTTGTTGCCAAATCCAGGCCACCTCCTGCAGGAGTCTTCTTTGACAGTTAACTACAAATAAATCTGAATGCCCATAAGGATACCTAATTTTTCATATTTAGTGCTGTCTGACCTCATAATATAGGTCTGAAAGTAAAGTGAATGGTCTCCTAATGGTAGGTAATATCTTCTAAGGAAAATGGGCCTTTGCTCTGAGTCATTTTACTCAGACCAAGCATTCCTGAAATATTAAAGAAACTACCTTTAAGTTTGCAGTCACTTTCATCTCCCTCTGCACCAGTACATAACGAAAGAGCCTAATCCCTATGAATCTGCCACAATGAATCTAAAGCCCGTGCTTTCAACAAAGCAGAGAAATAGCGCGGCTGTCTTCCCCATAGCTTCCCAGACAAAGCCTCTGATGTCTTCTTGTGCAAAAGACCTCCCTCAGACACTCCCCCTTACAAGTAAAGAAAAGCAGTATTTCCTTTAGTGACCAGCCTTGATTTGCTGCTCCCAGTTATGAAAGGTAACACCTGTATGTAACCAGTAACTTCAGCTGCCCAAAGTCAGTATTTTAATGCAACTGCTGGATGTATTCTGTCTCCAGTAACAGTAATAAGAAAAAAATAAATTGGACAAGAACCAAGTCAGAAGGTCTGGCGTGTTAAATAAAAGATGAGGGAGTTAAGAATTGTGAAATCAGAGGGGAGAAAAAAAAACCCTTACAAGTAGACTTCCTTCACAGCAGTTTAGAAAGCAGCAAAAGTATTACAGCACTGAAGACTAGCAGGTGTTTTGCCACTTCAAAAGAAGAGAAACTGGAAAGAGGAGGGTTTCTGGGGGAATGGTTCAAAGAGAACGAAGGGTTAGATAAGGCACATTTCAGGAGGAGACTCAGTTGTGGAAAACAATTATTCATGATACAAGTAAACTGTGAAAGCAATCTGCAGCTGAACTCCCCCCGAAAAGGCGATTTACAGGCACAGCAGGTGTATCATCTCCCACAGATGCTAAGGCAGCAGCAGCGACTGGAAACGACCACTCACCATGTCAGGCCACGCAGGACCATCCTCCTGCAGAGCCTGAAGGCACGGAGTGCAACTAATTTAACTAAAGGAAAAAAAACATTCCCTTAGTGATGCATCAAACTAAGTCCTAGGCAATTCTGGCCATCTCAGTAGTACTCAGATAAGAGGAAAAAGGTAGAAGGGTGTTTCAAGCAGTAATTACAACAGCAAATACACTGAGAAACACCAGATAATGCTGCCATGGCACAGAGAGAATCAGCCAGCAAATTGCTACTGGAGCCTAACATCAATTTACCTATCAGGGCAGTGCTGGGAGGCTTTTCTAGCTTAGGTCAAACATTCATTCCTTACAGCTCCCCTGCTTTGCATCTGAGCATCAACTCCAGTGCAACACTACCTTGTTTTGAAGAGCTGGAAAGCCTCTCATACACCAGTCACCAGGAAACACACACACAAAAAAAGCAGTTCTAAATTTGCAAAATTAAGAAAAAAGCAGTCATTACAATGAGAAAAATAGCAGAAATACAAGTTCAAGGTCACAAAAGAAATTCAATTACTCCAATGAGTTCTTCTCTTTCCTTCCTGTCCCCCAAATGAAACCCCACACACACTCAAGTTACTCCTGCCAATGTGGAGGCCTCCTAGATGGAGCAGGAAAGACATTCCTGCTTTTTTTGTTCCCTCTGCCTGCACTTTGGAAGGACAAATGCATCGTTTTTTTCCAACTCCATGGTATCCTCTGGAGATCTTTTACTTGTGTGGAACCAGCTTGTCTTACACTATGGCCCAAACTGCAAAGTAAAAAGCATGTGCAATATCATCTGCACTTACAGCTCTGTACAGGCTGGAGAGCTAGACACTCTCAGACAGATGTATGAACACTTATGCACTCAGCACACAGCGCTTCTGTCTTGTACAACACAAATCTAGAAAGGTCAACGAGCAAAAAAATTGTGGAAAGCAGCTGTTTAAAAGAACAATGAGCAAGAGTCATCATTACAAGAGAAAGAAACAAGATTAGGATATAAACAATGGACAACTACAGGAAAACTGAGGATAAACAGGCAGAAGACCACAAGGAGCTGTGTGATAAAAGTGGGACATGATGTCATTAGCGAAGCACAGGTGAGGCTTCTAGTCGGACATGTCTCAGTGAAGAAGGGAGAAACATGTGACAGGACATTCTGGGTTACTTACATGGGGCATAGAACATCATCAGAAGGGGTTTGTCTTCCTTCTTCAGAAGCCTTCTCAATTCCTAGTGAATAAATCAAAGAAAATTTAAAGAGACCTACACCCACAAGCACCTCTTATTATCTGTGTGACAACTTTAAATTAAAGTTAACATAGGTATTCATAGAATATAGGCTCATTTATCTGAGGGAAGAGAGGTCATCTTTCCTAATAGTCAAGAGGTGAGTTTCTTCTCCTTGCTCAATTTTAACTTGAAAGAAGATGGCAAAAATGTATTATAGATTTGAGTATCTGATAAATATCGTAGACCAGTATCTTCACTGTTGAGATGTGGAAGCTGCATGGCTTGATTTATTCTCACTGCAGAATCTCTAACTGTAAAAACTTTTTCTTCCCTGACGCATCCAAAAAGCCATACTCTAATTCAAAAAGTCAGACTCAATAATCAACAAAACATGTTCAGTTTCCACACTATGAAACCTTGTCAAAGCTATAAGAAGCCATGAGAAAGGCTTTTTCAGTACCAGCATGATAGAGAAACCAGATGAAGTTTTAAAATTGAATGCAACCCATGGAAGGCTTGAGAGTACAGAGAGCGAACATTAAAAATTAATCTTCCTACAAAAACTGAACATCAAAATAACTGTTTCTAATATTAAAAGTGAAAGCTAGAAAATTGAAAAGGCCCTTTATGAAATACCAGCTAGAGTCCAATCAATTAAAGTTTTAAAAATCTATAGACTAGAAAACTAATACAAAAGACCAAGTTGATTATATTAGAGAATATGAGTAGCTCTGTGCTGGCACTGCCTTTTTAAGGTAGTTTCACTGCATTTGCTGCTTTCCCAGGCAATACCAAGAGGACAGTTACTATACAAGGCTAAATCACTCACGATCTAGATCCTGTTCCTTCCTGCTCCAGACTTCCGGAGACTTTCTCAGGCATAGAAGGGAACCCAAGGTTTAATGACAACCTGCAGTTCCAAGAGCAGCGTTTTGCCTCCAACTTTCAACCTGTGGTGACCGCACCTTGCAAACTTGCGTAGCTGGCAGACTAATCACGATCACGCGTAGGAGGGAGGAAGGCAGGAAGCAGGAGACTTTACATTTACCATAATCCACAAACTTTATCATGAGACTCAAAACAGCTTAGGTGCTTTAAATTTCCATTCCAAGGAAAGGAATTTTTTCACTAAGAGTTAACAGAAACATATAAACTCTTCCCCTATATTTATAAAACATACAGAACATCTATCCAGCTAATGTACCTTTTCACTGTCAACATGCACAACATCTTTGGCTTCGGGATCTTCCTCCCACAGTGGAGCACCTTCTGGATCCTTGAGAAAGGCCACCAGAGACTGTAATAAACAGGGAAAAAAAAATTTTAAACCAAAATTAATGGAAACCACGAGACATCCAATGTCAAATCCATGCTGTCAGGGAAACCCCATGCAATTAGTGCCTTTCCTTTTTTGCTCATACAATCATCTGCTCTAATGCAGAGGAACACAGATCTCTTCTTGTAGAACCAAGTGATATATGGGCATGTACCTTCCTCATAACTGATATCCCAACTTACCAGTTCCTATTTCCACTATAAAAACAGGGAAAACAGTGTGCAATTTCATCAGCACACAAACAGGAGCTTCAAGGATCCTTCAGAGAGCTCTTTCAACAGTACTACATCTGCAATACTTCCACAGTTACCCCCTGTCTTAGCAGGAAAGATTTCTCTTTATGGAGAGGCCAGGTTCGCATGCCCTTCACCATCTAAGTAACTTCTGAATCCAATAGGACTACTTGGGGGACACATTGATACTCACTGTGAGCAAAAGCAGTGAACTCCACATTTAAAGATCAAACTGCTTACTGAGTCAAAGAAAGAGTAATCCACCAATAGTTCCCTCTATGACCCATCTACCTAGAAACTGCACTCAATGCATCTCTAAGTAGGAGTGTTAAGAAGCGAACGTGACAAGAGAAGTGGGACGTACAAGATCCTGTGAATCTGCAGCTTCCATATTAAACAAGCTGAGTACACATGCGTGCATGTTGTATAACTGCTTTACCAGACTGACATGCAAACAACAGTCCTTTTCAGCAGAGCACAGATATTCTATCATAAGGAAATACTCTCTGATGGTTCTGATTTCAGTCTAAGCCTGAGGGAAACTCCAGCCCTCTGAAGTCAATGAGATGCTTTCCACAGATTCCAACAGTCACAATTGCCCCCATTTCCAGATGTATGTGGAAGCACAGGCTTGATCACCATTACCCACAGATTTCTGTGCTCTAGGAAACACAATACTTGGTATTCTGTGTCCATTCACCATTCAGATTGACCCCATTTCTTTCTCTGTGGCATTGTTTGTAGAAACGTGTTCACTTCCAGACAGGCTCTCTTCCGGACCAGTAATGTAGCGAGGTCCCTCAGGAGCTTCCCTCAACGTAAGAGCGAATGGATGACACTGTCACAACACTAAGTGAACTTACTTGGAGCTGGAGCAAAGAAAATGGTCATTAAAGCCTTTTTCAGCACATAGGATATTCTGCCAAAGCAGCTTATGACTGAAGAGCAGAGCTGAGTATATATTAATAGAAGCCAAGAATATTCATCTAAAAGCCAAGGTTTCTACTGCACCTTCTCAAGAGGAGGTTGGCAGCTCACCTGGTGACACACACCACTGAAACAGTCCAAGACACTTTTGCCACCTCTCTGCCTTTGGTAGGGCTGCTCTGGTACAATATCCCAACAGCTTATCAACAAAGAGTGGAGTTCAGCTCATTTTCCTGATTCTCAGTTGATACTGCAAGACCCGGGAGGATTTGGAGCTTACGGCAGGATCCATTTATTGCATTTATGTTTCTGTCTACTTGAACAGCTAATATTGAAGAGATTTGTCTTACCACAAGCGGCAGCATATACGAGTCACTAGACAGCAAGCAAAGCACTTAGTGTACACAGTAAGAGGACCTAAGGGGTGAGGTAGTAGCATTGGGACCACAAGCACTTGAAGAACAAATTTAATAACACATTAGCAGATAAAGAAACTAGCTAGAAAAAAAAACAACCAACCAAACAAACAAACCCAGCAACTTATAATGGAGTTACAGTTTTAAAAAGCTCTAAAACTAGAGTCATAAGCATCTCAAATGATGCCATAAGAAGACTTAATAATCATAGAATCACAGAGTTTGGAGAACACCCTTAAGACCATCAAGTCAAACTGTTAACCTAGCAATGTCAGGTCCACCACTAAACCATGTCCCTAAGCACCACATCTACACATCTTTTAAATACTTCCAGGGATGGTTACACAATCACTTCCCTGGGCAGCCTGTTCCAGTGCTTAACAACTCTTTCAGCGAAGAAGTTTTTCCTAATGTCCAATTCAAATCTCCCCTGGCACAACTTGAGGCCATTTTCTTGTTCTATCACTTGCCACATGGGAGAAGAGACCAACATCAACCTCACTACAACCTCGTTTCACGTAGTTGTAGAGTAATAAGGTCTCCATTGAACTTCCCTTTCTGCAGGCTAAACAACCCCAGTTCCCTCAGTTGTCCCTCATAAGACTTGTTCTCTAGATCCTTCATCAGCTTTGTTGCCCTTCTTTGGATGTGCTCCAGCAATATGGGGAAAGAAGAGGGCAAAAGAGCAAAGACGTTCTACATTTAGGAAAGCTACACCAAGTTCTGCTCACTGTCAGTCTGCACAGACCACAATTATACACGGGAGAGGACGAGAGAGGGGACAACATTTTAAACAGCTAACGAGTGCAATTGACTGCTAGTTTCAAGAATCCCTGCATGCCAAGTTCAGTCATGTAGAAACATATGTGGTTAGAGGATGGGGGATTAAAGCGATTTAATTCATCCAGCCTCTCCCTCTCAGCCAAGACAGAAAAAATTAGATGTGTAATGTCTTCTGGCAGGAGCCAGCAGTCCACTGCCTTGCACTCATTACTCCACTTGGTGAAGAGAACTTCCTGCGTGCCTTTAAATAGGAAAGAACACCACCCACACCTGCCCCAAATCGAAAAAAGCACAGCACTCTCTAATCACAGAAAAGCAGTGGTCCTCCAGCTGCCAGGGTAGAGACCGGAGCAAGGTTCAGCACACAGCCACCCCCACGCTGAAGAATCAGCTCTGTCATGCCGTGACATGGTCGGGATCCACTCTGACCCTGTGGCACGAACAGAGCCATGCTGGGCTGTAACCCACTGCCCGAACCCCTATGACAGGTTTGAGCATTAAACATGGCTTCAGAAGAATACAGGACACAGCTTCATCCAGCCCATGTTGCTAGAAGCAAGCAAGCTTTAATAGCACAATAGCTGGCCATCACATATGGACCTAGATTTTAACCTGAAAAAAAATTAAAATATATTTACAGAAACACATCCCTATACTCTTCACTCCTTTGAAGTACAATGCAGCAGGGATGCTAATAAAAAATTTCCCTTGATTTCACACACACACTCCTTAAAACAGCAAACTTGAAAAGGATTCAGAGTTTAGAGCAGGACCAATTTATTGGGTTAGTCTATTCCCTCTGCTAGTACTGAGCAGATTTGTACTTTAATGAGTTTTCTCAATTTTAGCAGGAGAGTAAAACTCTTCCTGTACTTCATCTTCCAAGAAAAGGCTTCATCATGTAATAAACACAGCCTGAATATTGGCCTTATGGCACTACAGAGGATTAGGACATGGTGGGGCTAAAACAATGTATGAACAGACTTATCAGTTAAGATCAACAACTGATCTAAGCTTAGGTGTCTTAGCAGCTGACTACAGGTACTATACTAGTACTTACAGAGCATACTTATTTTTTGCCAGAAATTGAGAGCATATAACAGTGTAAGTTTATGGACTCTGCACCAGCTGTTGTACTTGGACCTCTATGCTTGCTAACTGTCAATGGATCTATCCTTTATGACTAGCTTAAACAGTTTAAAGACTCCTAAGTTCTTGGCCTTCACAACATATAGCTACAAGCTCCGCAACCATTTTTTGGTGTTTTTTTTTAAGACATTGCAGTTGTTTCAAACCAGCCATCCCAAATCACCACTGCTTGCACTCCAAGTTTGGAGAAAAAAAGATAATCATGGCCTTTTTTCCAGGTGCCCAGTTATACAAATATCTACTGTAATGTCCTCCAGTTATCCTCTTTTTTCCAAGCCCAACAATCTTCACGTAACCACTCAAACCATCTGTGCTTCTGATCATCCTCACTGCCCTTTTTACTTGAAGGGGCAACCAGAATCCTATAGAAGACACAAGATGAAGGAATCCAATGGACTCAGATGGCAGAATTAACATTTCCTCTTCCATACTCTGTTCCTTTCCTAACCATTTGACTCTTAAACACTGTAAGCACAGAGCCAATATTTTCAAGCCCACAGCTGTCCTGAGTGGTAATTCAAACCCCATTACAATAGTCTGCATTACTCCAGCATAGCTGGAGCTGAGTCCTTTTGCTTCCTTTCATGCTCACTACCTGAGAAGTTCCTACTTTCATCTTGACAAGCCACTTTGTATTGTGAGAACCTAAGTTCTTCTGTAAAGAGCTGGAAATATTTTCTTAAAACTATTCAAATAATTTTGCATCCCCAAACTTTATTACCTTGCAGTTCACCTCCCTTTACCAGATACCCCAAACAGCTCAGATCCTAACACAGGTCTCAGCAGCAGAAGGTTCTGAATGCTAACCAGCTTCTTTCCCCACTGTGAACACTGAGCTATCTTTTATTCCTCATTTTTCTACCAGTAAACCCACAAGGGCATTTCTGCTAATTACATAAGGATTTACTTACTTTAAGAAATGAAAAGCTTTTCTTAAAAACCCAAGTACACTATCAGCTGGATCAGTCATAGCTAAGAAACTGCTGATTACTTCAGAAGAATTCTTCTACAGTTCTTCAGAGCTGTGTCCATCGTTCCCCAAAATGTCATACATATATTAATATGTCTAGTGGATGCCTGGAAAGAAAATTCAAGTTTTATTGCCACAAGCTTGCGGAACGATGTGAAACCAATCCTTTAATCTCCCTGTTCTTCAGTGTGTCCACCTGTCCGTAAAATGAGTATGATACCCTACGTAATTGTGTTGCTCTGCTGCTCGCTCGTTGTAAGGTATGGGAGATCCCTGACAAACACAAAGAAAGGTCACTGCCTCAACAGAAGAAAACAGAGAGAAGCAGTAGTACAGATGGAGGAATATGAAGATATTCAGGTGGCTGTGAACAGCAGAACAAGTAAATGCTGCCCAACTCTGATGCACTGTCCAACCTGTAAATCACCAGCAGTTGGTTTCACAGGGGCAGTTAAATTAAGAAAGATTAACGCTCCTAGAGCAAGGGAGCTTCAAAATCCCTCTTCTACCCACACAGGAATCCCACATCCCTGACTATGAGATGCTGGTTCAGTCTCCCTAACAGGCAGGGCAAAAGGGAACAGGGAAACACTCATCACAGAACAGGAACTAAGGGCATAAAGGGTATAGTTCCCGTCGTGCTATGACTGCCTCTCAGTCCAACACTCCCTCGGACTCTGCAGGTGCTCTTCAGTTGATCTGATCCACAAGGGAGAGCGACAGCACTAATTCCTGGTTGCAGCACTTTATGGAGAGCAGGGAAGAGATATCATGCATTGTTCAAAACACCCGAATTCAGGCAACTAACAAGTCTCTGTCACCCCAACACCCACAATGAGGAAAAAAAAAAAATCACCAGGTGCATTTCCTCATGAAGTACAGAAAGAGCTTCAGGCAGTTGCTGAGTAAACTGGGTATGTAACATTGCCCTTCCTAGTGCCAGGAAGGTTTGTACTGCAGGAGACAGGAAGATACACAATCCTACTCTCCACCTCAGGCAAATCCTGCATGACAACCCTGAGGAGAGGCTGAATGGGTGATTCAAGCCAGGGCATGCTTCCAAGACAGTCCCCCCATGAGCTACCCCTCAACAACTCTGGCTTTAAAAGGAAGGTCCAGAACAAGCACACTGGGGTATAGCCCTTCCGTCAGACTCAGGTTCATGTCGCATCATACACAGGCTTCCTTCCATTCCAGGCCAAAACCCTGAACAAGCCAGAAAGGGGAAGTAAATGCAATGATGTCAATCCTCGGGTGGTGTCATCAAGCCTCCACAAGAGCAACACTGGCGTAAGAACCTGGGTGTGCTAGAGGAGGAAGAGAAATGGGAACTGGGCATCAGAGCTGGACAGAAGTAATTTCTGGAAGCCAGGGCTGCAATCTCAAACGAGGCTACTGCCAGTGCTTCATCAGAGCTTCGCAGAGGGAGGCTGCACACTTTCAGCCTGCTTACTGTGCTTTTAGTCCACCATTTCCACAATCATCAAGATCCACATATTCATTTCATGTTTCATGTTGTCTTCTTTCCATTGCCCTCACAGAACATGGCTTTCTGTTGCTTTGTGTCAAGGTTTGCAGGAGAAGGAAGGTCATTTTATCTCTGGTCCACTCAGGACACATCCATTGGAACTCTGGTTCCATAATCTGATAAAAGGTAAGGACAGCCAAGTTTTCTTGTAAGTTTATAAACATACAACCTAAAAACCTCAGAGAACTCCTTATCAAAATGCAGTATCAACTAATACTTTTAGTTACACTGCCACACCTTGTAAGCAAAATAAAAAAAGCAATCCCTATTCGTTACCAGTCTGAAAGTTAACTCACAATTTACATCACAGTTTAACATAGGTTCAATCGTTTTAATAACACACAGTTTTCCTGGATGTCTGATTGGCAGACACACACATACACAAAAACCTTGAGGTCATTCCAACAGCTGTTTATGAAGATAAATCCCCTCCCTTTTATACCTTCAGCATGAAAAAGTACCAACACCTGCTTTTAATCCACAAACATCTCTTCCCCCATGTCTAGCAAGATGAAGACAATAATAATGAAATATTTAAATTTACCTTCACTGTGACTGCTCTGTTATATTCAGTATGAAATGCACCGTCCCTGTTGAACAAGGAGTGAGGAATAGTGTTAACTTACAGCAATGTAGCTGGAAATCACACAGCTGCTCTTTCTCACTTCTCACTAACCAGAATAACATTATCCTGCTAAAGCCACAGAATTAAGTAGAACTTACAGTGCAGTAATTTGGGAGGGGGGGGAAGCATAAGGAAAAAGGAAGGGTGCAAAAAAGTGTAGAGTAAACAGGTTAATAGTAAATAATTTCCTCCCTGACACTTTAGCAAGAATATTTACTAAAGCACGATCTTTGGAGCTGGAGATGCAGCTGCTCCCTGTCTCATGCTTAACAGTACTCCCACGTCTATTATTTCCAGGAAGAAAATCTCTTGCTATGTCACTACGCTTGCCTTTCTCCCCTTTCTTTATGAAGTACTATCTCAAGTCAGAAAAGTAAGCACAGGGAAGTGAAGTGATTTGCCCAAGGCACAAGCCAGCAGGCACGTGACAGAGAAAGTAAGAGAGCTCATCTCAGGCATCAGCCCTGTGCATTTAGTCCACTGGACATCTCTCCCAGGTCCTGCTCGTGCTTTTAGTGTACTCTATTCAAGAGTAGAATAAATTTCTCTCAACTTCTGTCACAACATATGCTTGCAAACTGAAGAAATAGCAATCAATTTCACATGTCAAAGGATTAAAAAATAAGAAGCCTTCATGCTGCAGCAGTATGGAACTGCAAGGAGAACAAACGGTCCGAACAGGGGCATCAACAGTTAGAAATTACAAATCCTTGCCCAGCACTCACTTGTAATGGAGTAATTCCACTCCTTTCTCCTTTGAATTAGGATCTACTTTCACCTTCTTGCATAACTTGCGGCTCTCAGTATCACTGCAAAAAACACATATCGAAAAAAAATCGTTACAAGAAAGGAAACTAAATGCATTCAGTTCTGAAAACTCACTGTTGTGCTTCCTCATCAGCAATTAGATGCAACTAACAGTAATTTGGAAGCTGTTCAGCTAAGTTTGTGGGGCGAGCATTATGGAAGTTGCATTTACCAGTTAATTTCTCTGTGTGCTTGGTCAGGACACAGTGAACTGTGTTAAAACCACATTCCAAAGCCAGGCCCTAACCAGTACAAAAGCATCCCATTCTAGCATGTCTGAGCACCTCTGCAGACCTTCTGTCCACATTACTGCTAGGGTGATGGCCAAAGAGCACTGCTGTGAAAAGATTCAAAGAGAAAGAGCAGGTCAGCTTTTACACCTGATAGAAGATAATCCCAAACCAAAAAGAAACATCGTCACGGTATCTCCAAGCCCAGATCACAATTTTGGAGCCCCAAGTCCAGCAATCCCATTCACTCTAGGCATGAGGGATGTGTCCTGGAGCCACAGAGGGCAAGTGGAGGTAAAGATCATTTGCCACAACTCCTGAAGAAGGATGCATGCAGCAGGTGGGTTTCAAACTGAACAAGAATTCATCACCAGATTAGGCTGAGTTGAAGAAGAGAGAAGGGTCCTAGGCAAAAACCACATACACATTTGCTCAGGTGAGCAGGTAAAGCACCTTCATGGCCTAACTGCTGTCCTAAACAAAGCAGAATTGAAGCTATAATTATACTTCAAGCTGAAGGGAATATGAAATCAATTGAAAAACCGGGGAGAAGAGTGAACCAGTACAACTACAAAGAAAAGAAGATCATCCACATTGACAAGACCATTCTCTGCGCTGACAAACAGCAAGATTATAAAGCTTGGAAACTTGTTCCCAGCAGAGCATAACTTGTACCTTTTACACAGATAAATCAATTTAGAAAATGAAAACACTGAAAACCCATCAAGTTTAAACTGATTAGAGATACATTAGAAACAACGAGATGCAAGGGCCTCACCAAATTAAGTGCTGCTGCCAGCATTGTTGCTAATTCTCCCAGTGTTCTCCAGCTGCCTTTCTGCAAACGTGTGGTACAAACACAAGTTCACGGGTACTGCAGAGGTGATAACTTCCCAAATACTTATTGTAGATGGAAATGAGGAGGGGTGTGCATGCACCCAAATCAGAATATTATGATGAAGACAGAAATGAGCATTTGAAAGAACTGACAAAGGGTACAGCTACCTCACTGGGAACGAACACCCGTAATCCGAACTGTACAGAAAGAAGTATGTTTATCTGGAGAGGCTTGCTGTATTCATGCCAGTTCTGCATTTTCAGATCACAGTCAAAGCCAGCCACCAGTAAACCAGTAAAAGCTTATTTGCTTCTCCAGGAGACTGGAGATCTGCGCCTGAGGAAACTGCATTTTCCTCTTGTCCACGGCATCTTTGTTTTCCCCAGACTGCAGTGGAAAGTGGAGTTAAAACAATCATCTCTTCATTGAATAATGTGAACATGTCTCCTTGTAACAAAACTAGATTACAAAACAAATCACCTGGATTTGGAGTTTTGCTGAAATGCTGATTTGCCACATCAAGTTTGTACCAAAAGTCTGCAACAACACTAGACACGTCGTATCTTCTCTCACCTGCAGCCCTCCAACAGTCCTGGAGGCTAAACCTAAGCTACTCAAAGCTCAAAGAATCTCAGGAGGAGGCACCAGTTTCAGATCATCCTCCCATCTTACCTCAGACTGGTCTAGAGGCACAGAGAAGCCCTTGTGCCCCTGCTAGGGCTGACTGCCAGTTAAGTCAGCTGGCACTACAGTCAATATTTATTTGTAAATACTCTTCCAGACACTCCCAAGCATTTCCAGGATACATGTGTATTTGATGGCATCTCAGCTTTGCCAAGACAAATGTTAGGTGAACAAGTGTAATGCTGAAATCTACCTCCAACAATAGGTTCTGTCAAGCCCCAAGATGTGCACACAATTGCTCTGGTATGAACAAAGGATCAAAATGCATATCAAGACAACTCTGTTGCCAGTTCTGCCATCAGTTTGGTGCAACTTCAAACCATGCAAGGAAAAAAAAAAGTTTAATTTTTCCTCATATGTCATTTAGATAAGATTCAGATACTCATCTTAGAAAAGTTCAGCAAGGTTTATAGCGGAAAAATGCTACCAAATGTTTTTACTGAGATGTACCCATGAGCAAGCAAAGCAGCTAGCAACTCCTACCACTCCAACTCCTACCAACTCATCTTCTGTTTGCACGAGTTTCTATTAAAAAAAGATAAGAACAGTTGTTTCACTGGAAGGAAGCAGGCTCTAAGCCTGCCCTGCCTTCAGGATTGCTCCGCTGCAGAGATTCACATAGCTGCCTGAATGCACATCCATTACCAGAGAGCAGAGCAGTAGTTTACTCCGCTACGTCTCTTACCATCCAGCGGGCTGCACTGGGAGTTTAGTTTGTTTACGCAAGATATCTGCACTGATGCAAGGGAAGGAAGAGGAGCAAATTCCCAAAATAGGAAGTATCTAAATATATATCAGTAATTTTTTCATGCATCAGTGCAGATTTTTGCACATGCCAGACCCACCAGCTCAGATGCTATACTAATGACTCTTCAGAATAAAACAGGAAGGGAAACATACAGAAATACTAGAGATGGACCCATTCTGCTTTTCCTTCTGCTTTCACTTGCAGAGAGACAAAAATAACCTGCAAAGAGCAACTTGCTCCGATATCATTTGGTAATGACCGTTATCCTTAATAAGAGTAAATATCAACACAGAGGCAGTCTCTGCTCTGAGATATGTCTCTTTTGGATCTCAGCCAACAGCCTTTCTCTGAAGATGAGCTCCTCAACTCTCACATGAGAGAGGGTAATTAGGACTCCAGTTCTTGCAATTTAATTATACCACTTGAAGAGGCAGCGTAAGAGTTGATAACTAAGAAAAAAAAAAAGAAAGAAGAAAAAACAACAACAACAAATCTAACCAGCACTGTAGCATCGAGGCACTCCAGGCAAGGTACCAAGCTCAGGAAACACCAGTTTGAGTATGAGGTCAGTAACGTGCCCCCAGCAGCCATCCTTGGCTGCCTTGTGCCATTTCTGTACAGAGCAATTCAAACCTTCAAAGGTCCCTGCTGTGTTACTGCTGAAGGGAGCCCTGCTTTGCCTGCAGGCAGGCCTACAAATCATTCAGCTCTATTTCCATGGAGAATCATCCAAAACCATGAACCTTTCTGCAGTACCGTAAAGGACCTAACCAGCAGCTCTCTATGTGATAATAAGGTCAAAACCTTAAGTGGCATGATGGCACAGCTTCCTCCCACTCACTCAGTCACGTTCTCCACACTCCCCCTTCTCCTGAAACCAAACCAGCGCTCCAAAATGCTCCTTTGCTGCAGAAGTGAAGATGTGTGGCAGCTTGTTAAAAAGGACAATAAACCAAAAGATCCAAGTTGACCTAACTAAGTAGGAAGTCTAAATAACAAAGACAGCATGCACCATAGGAATGCTTCACCTCTTTCCACTCACATCCCCACGTCCTCTGCTGGGAGACACTTCTGGCGTTTGGGGTTACGACGGAGCTGGCAGAAAGCCCACCTGGAGCACTCCCTGTAAACCTCTGGGGTCCCTTGTCAGCATTAGCATGCATGAATAAACACTTTGCACAACCAGATAGCTGTTACTGGGGCAGGAGGAAGGCCCTGAGGGGCTTAAAGGAGATCTGGCCTCCTTTGGCTCCCCACCAGTGAGGCCAGAACCTGAAGGGGACCTGCTCCATAGGGGAATGCCTGTAGCACCTCAGGATGCTCTGCCTATGCAGGGCTGCCCACAGGCCTGGGAGCTCATGGTCATTAGGATGGAGAAGCAATGAGAGATACTGATGGCAGTCCCCAGTGGCAGAAGCAACCCAGAGAACGGCTTTTGCAGTGACGCATCAAGGTCATTTGGAGAGAGAACGAACAGAGGACAAAGCTAGACAGGAAGAACACAAAGTAAGATCCAGGAGTTTGGCAGCAGTAAATCCATAGTGGCTTGTAAAAATAAATCAAGTCCAAGCTGGATGGATCCTGAGTAAGAAATGGTGCATGGGTGATGGTAGTGCAAAACACCCTCCTTGGAGCAAACTCCAGTGTTGTCCTGGAAGGTCCTGAAAGCAGCAGGCTAAGACTGAACATCTTCAGCACCATCCTTTCTCACGAGCACAAATACTATTTTCTGCAGTTCCCTCATTATTTCCCTTATCACATAATGCTACCCACTGGCTTCTCATCAAGAAGGAAAAACAGTCCTACAACCACAATAGCCTCTGGGGAGGAAGGATCTGGAATGACTGTCAAATCCCCTCTTAGGAAACAACAAAAAGACACCATCCAAAAAAACGTCACATCTCCAGCTGTCAACATCACAGCAGTGTATGTACGTGCTTGTGTGGTTTCATCACTTCAACACCACAATGCTGGCATCTAACACTTTGCGATGCAGACTGGACCCAGCTTTCTATTTCATCCATACCTACAGTGATTCCAGGCACAAGAGAAATAAATAATAAAAACATGGATAGAACTAATTTAAGTACCCAGGTCAGTAAATCTGCCTGCACAAAAACTGCCTCACTCCTCTATCAGCATATCGTATAACCACAAGTGAACCACAGACCTCACAATCTGTAAACAGATTTTATCTCTTCTATCTGTACATCTCTCCATCTGAAACAGGGTTCAGCAACCCACATAAGTTAAGTTCAGCAGTCTCTTACAGCACAGTTGTGCCTGTAGATCCTAAAACAACAGAGGCCCTACAGCGGCTGCACAGGCAGTGTCCCAGTCCCAACAGCTGGAAGAGACAAGACTGAGGAGGTAAGGAGGATGAACAGGCTTTGAGAGAGGGGTGATATGGCCAAGCAGAAATGAGTCTGTCTACAAAGCAAGTCTCCTGACACTGGAAAATGGTTGGGAAGGTACCAAAACTGTCAGCTTCTTACCAGCACG